TGAATAGCAACTCTGGAGACTGGGCGTAAATTTGAATCATTTTTCTTCCATTTTCCCACTTATAAGCATGATAACTAAAACGTATTTCCGAGTCACAAATCTAAGCAATTTAAATTCTTTCTTTAAACTTCTGTTCAGTCTTTTCCGTTCAGTTCAGCGCAGGACTCAGTTCCTCACATAAAGACGTGTTTCGGACCGTCTCGGCAGGAGCTCTCTGCAGAACAAGTGCAAACCCTTTACAAAATGCTGCTGTGCTTCCAGTAACACACCAATTACACTAGTTTCATAAAAGCAAAGTGAGTCACCTTCTTCCAGCGAGCCTTTTTGGTTTTGTCTTTCAAATAAAAGACCTGTCGCTGTTGCGAAACCTCACTTTTGAGGCTCTGGTTAGCTTTGTGGCAAGCAGCTAGTGACCTCTCAGCTATGTTTTATACCATTTCTACCATTTTGAGAGAACGTGTTTCCCAGGAAGAAAGACATTTGGAAACCCTGTAGTGACATCAACTGATTTCCACCACTGCTACAAAGCACGGCTGAATCTGGATTAGGATCTAAGTCATCTCAGGTGATGATAATTGCCTTATGGTTGCATGGTTTGGCTAGACAAAGAGAAATCCCACCTCTCACTGCACCCAGTCATGGTCAGGCTTAGCCTCTGCCTACAACTGACTGCATCACATTGGATGTTTTACCTTCTTCGTCTCTGGTACTGATGTGACAGTATTCCCTTTTACTATTATTAGTTAGTGCCTTGACCCTGAGACTTCTGGTGGCAGCCCGTTAAGGACAGAGACCGAGTGAAAACGGTGCCATGCTGCTGTCTTGTGTGAAGATGAGGCAATCAAATACATGTTTAAGCTCCTTGATAGTGATGCTACCCATACACGGCCTCTACAAGGAATTACAAAAATCCAGCTGAGATGTAATGAAAACATGAATTAATGACTTCGTATCCTTCTGTGGGAGTCCTGGTCTCAGCTTTCCTGATTCCTAGAGATGCCAGCATGACACTTTTGATATACTCCGAGTGAAAAATTCAATGAATGACCCTGACTTTATGTTCAAAGTGGCATGAATATAAAACTAGCCAACTCAGATTCAACGTGTTTTGGCAGATTTTTAACCCCAGGAAACATTCAGAAATACCGGGCTGACTGTCACTTTGATGTGTAGGTGAATCAGCAACAGTTTCCTTGGGGTCTTATGAGACTGAAAAATGAACTTTTGTGTCAGCTTCCTAACAGCAAGTTGCCACTGACACCGAGCAGCACAGAGCTGCTCCCTGAGGACATCAGTACATAACCAGACTGGGGGAAAACACTTAATTAAAGCGTAGAAAGCAAAACAAAAGAAAAGACTGAAAACATTTCAGACAACAACAAATCTCCAATGCTTGAAACAAGTCAACAAACCTGGTAGGAACCAAAAAAACCCCAACCCCACGACCTGAGAAAAATATCCCTAACTAATTTATCAGGAAAAGATTTCAGAAGATCATGTTTTCACAGCGGTTTCCAAGTGAAAAGCAAGATTTACTGTCATCGCTCCTACAGAAGCTTTCACTGAGAAGTGGTAACCTTATTCCAGAGACAAAATGTTCCAAACTAGTCGATGCTTCCAAAGGGAAATAAAGCCGCTTTTCTGCCTCAGAAATCCTGCTGGCTGCCAGTGTTGACACAAAACTCGCTCTTGACCGAGCTCCTGAATGCTCAGCAAGCTCAGTAGGGTGGTGTAGTTGTTTTGTTTATTTATAAGCGTGGCAAGTTTCCTATTGTAGCTGCTACCACATTTAAATGATCTTGGCAACGGCGAGGCATACAGGATACATTCTGAAGAAGGACCATGTCATTGCCTGGCAGGCAATTTCCTTGTTTTTTAAAGCCCAAAACACATCTTTCCAGCCTCTGCTAAGTGTTACTATTTCTGAGGATATTTGAAGCAGGTAAAATGCTACGAGTGCTAGAAGGGAGATAAACAAGGACTCCGGAAAAAAGCCTCACGCTGACCTTGAGGCAGAATACTGAGGGCTCTCCAGGCAGGTTTTTCTTTCTCAGTACAACCACTCAAAGTAGAGAAATACATTACTTAAAATTTCTGCAAGGTATTGTAAAAGTCATAGCATTTTAGGATCCCAAGAAAGCCAGAGAGGAAGTCTTTTTAAAGTTAAGAAGCATTTTCCTGGATCCATAGTAAGTCTACAGGCAGAACGCTGGCATCTAAATCTATCTGAACTGACCTTCAGAGGAAATAGAAATGTCTTTCAGGCCAAGCGTACGTAAATGAAACACGTAGTTACGCGAGGAGCCAGAAAAAACAAAAGATCCAAGTTACTTGGAAATTTTACAGCATTCAAAGTCTAGTGCAGCTTGCTAAGAGTCAATAAGGCTGGGAGTAACCGATGGCCCTAGAAAAGGCAGTGCTGGTGAAACACCAGGACATGGATGTTCCAGTTAACAGTTTTTATAAGAAGTCTTCATCTCAGGCTTTAATGAATATTCTGCATTTCCTCTGTTTTCCAGGCAAGAAGTCAAGCGTTTTTGTGTTTGTGTTGTTTTTGTATGGAATTGCATGTTACTACGGAAGCTACAGAGGTTTCATGCTCTGTCTTACTGACATTTTGGGTCGTTTTTCCCCTTCCCTACCTCACTCTTCTGCATACTACTCAGTGCCTCAGAAGAGCAAAGCATATCATTTTCATAATCAACTGGTCCCCACTAGGAAATCCAGCAGCTTCACAGCTCAGTACTCCTGTGTAGTCCAAACATCTCACACTCCTCTTCATCCCTCCCCTCTCCACCCTGCGGTCTCATTTCCCAACGGGCAGAGGAAAGGGTGAGCTCTGCAGTGCTTGAGGAATACTTGTCCCTCAACGCTGCTATTTGAGCTGATCGAGGACGCAAACTGCTGTGGTAAACCCCATCAAACTGCGCCCTTCTGGCCACCGCTCCTCATCTGCCCAAGCATAGCTCACCTCAAGTACCTGCAATGTGGGGCACAGCAAGAGGTGGTCTCTGTGGTAGGTTCACCCTGACAACTTGTAGCTTCAAAACCATGAAGTCCATGTTTTAGGTTTCACCCAGCATCACTCAGCAGCTCATGCTGGCCATGCATTAGCTATTTTGTATGATTTTGATAGAAACTCCACCTAGCAAGTAACGAACATGTTGATTTCAAAATCCATCTAGAAAGCACTTTCACAGCATAGTATATATTCTTGCTCTTCACTGATCAGTGCATCACTTAACGATTTTGGGAGGAAATTAATCAGTGAAATTGCTTAAAAGCTCCATACTGTGAAGGTCAGCCACAGACCCATCTCAAAACAATGTGATTTTAAAATTCATCCTAGACACCTTCTGCAAAGGATGGTTCTGAAATCACGCTGCCCCCTCCTCAGATTGAGACTACAATGGCTTTGCTGAAGTCGGCTAGTTTCCAGTAGCTACATTCAATAAGAAAGTGCAATTGGAATATGCATTTTGGGATCCAGCTGGCTACAAATCACTCTACAAACTGATCCACAAATGACATGCCATCTAGGAACCAATTCAATAGCTGCTGAAATTCAGCCGTTTCTAGAACAAATGATGACAATTGCTTACAGGACCCTTACAGCAGAACTATTAGACACACAGCCAGAAGTACAATGCCAAATGCAACCAGATGAAAATTACTAATTTTCACAGTGTTAGAACTTGCTCTCAGAGTTATCGAGACTGCTCAAAATTCTGTCTGCACTAGGATTATTTTTTTTTAAAGGTACTGATGAACTATTAAAATCAAGCCAACATGAAGTTCTTCTGTTAGCACGGCCTAGCTGGATGAGGCAACTTAGAAATACAATTTATTTTCCCCTGCCAGAGCTTTAGAAAGTGTCAATACGGTAGAACAATTTCGGAGGAAAAAGGGAAGAACCATGGAAGAAAGCAACCATCTCCATT